AGTGGTTAGCGTGACGGTTTCATCGGTACGGTCACTTGCTGAACGATGCGGTGTGCGGTACCGGCGCAACTTGTCGAACCGTGAAGCACACAAAACTTGGCTTCGTTGTTTTCGGAGACCTTGGCGCGACACAAACCGAAGCAGCTCCGGCTGTAGGGCTTGAACACCCTTTTGGTATTCCGCATATGCAAGTGAGTAAAACCGGACAGGTAGGCGTGCGTTTGTCATTCGCGATCACGATGTCCCAGCGCACGGGAACTAGCGTCATTGCACAGTGCTGTGCGAGTTATCAGCGATACTATGCTAGGTAATGATCTGTATATTACCGATGAACTCGCAAACGACAGGACCAACCACTCGTGGGGTGTGGGGATAAAGTGGGTGAAGTCTGAGTGGGAACAAAACTTCGGTGAAGGATTGGAGGATCGACCAAATTAAACGAATCAGGTACTTCGATCCGAGAACACAAAAGACGGCATGAGGAGGTTGTAAGATCGTGAGCCGTTTCATTTCTTGTATGCTTTTTCATTGTATAATCTAGCCGCCGATGCTGTCTGCACGGTACAATGCTGCGCCATGTTATGTCACAAGGTTTGCTGAATCACGAAAGGAAGTAGAACACTGTCATGACGATCCTAACCCTTGACCTTGTAGATGGCCTCGGCCAGGCGGCCGACGTTCTCGCTGGTGATACCCGCGACCGAGATACGGCCGTCCTTGGTAGCATAGACTGAGTGCTGTCATGGCGGTTAGCGCTGCGGATATCAAGATGGTTGCAAAACATAAACTTACCTCCTTCGCTAGCTTGTCCATCTGCTCGGCTGTCAGACCAGTGTAAGCAAACATGCCAATCTGGGAGGTGATATGGCTCCAGTCGTGCTTGCTGCCGAGCTTCTCGAGGTTCTCCTTGAGGAGGGCACGCATGGTGATGATGCGGTCAGCCATGCCCTTGACCTCACCGAGCCATTGCTTGTTGAGGGAAGCATCGTTCAGAATCTCAGAGGCAATGCGTGCACCGTGAACTGGAGGGTTAGAGTACAATGGGCGGACGAGAATCTTGATCTGAGAGTCAACGCGCTTCTTCTCGTCGGCAGACTCGCAGACGATGGAGAAGGCACCAACACGCTCGCCGTAGAGACCCATGTTCTTGGCGAAAGACTGAGCCAGGCAGGGGCGGAGGCCCTCCTTGATGAAGTGGCGGAGAGCGAAGGCATCCTTGGTGGTGTCACCACTGGCAAAGCCCTGGTAGGCCATGTCGAAGAAGGGGTAGTGGTCGCCAGCCTTGACAGCCTCAGCGATCTGAACCCACTGCTCCTCGGTAGGGTCTACACCAGTAGGGTTGTGGGCACAGGCGTGGAGCAGGACGATGCTGTTCTTGGGCATGGCCTTGATGTCGGCCACCATGCCGTCAAAGTCGAGGCCAATGGTGTCCTTGTTGTAGTAGCGGTACTTCTCGACCTTGAGGCCGGAGTCTTTGAAGACAGCGTTGTGGTTGGCCCATGACGGCGTGGGAATGTAAATGGCCTTCGCGCCGGGGTAGTGACGCTCGAGGAAGGCACCACCAATGCGGAGGGCACCGGTACCGGAGATGGTCTGGGTGACGGCGATGCAGTCGTCGTTGAGGGGCGTAGAGTCGGCGCCGTATGCGAGCCTGAGGGCAGCCTTGGTGAAGTTGGGGACACCGGTGATGCCGGCGTATTCCTTGTCGAGCGATGACTTGACAATCTTCTCCTCTGCTTCCCTTACGGATGGCAGGACGTAGGGCTTGCCCTTGTCGTCACGGTAGGCACCAACACCTGTCGATAGCTGTCAGTCGCGCCTTCCATGTCGGATTAAAGAGCTTATACTAACCCAAGTTGATCTTCTTGGGGTTGCTGTCGGCCTTGAAGGCTTCGGTGATACCTAGAATGGCCTTGGGCGGGGCGGTGAGCTACGGCATGGCCTATCTTATCAGGAGCTGTACTTACATCCTGGGAGTCAGTTAGCTCTGGTGAAACACGACTGGGGCCCAATTGCTTTTGCCACTTACTGGAGGACCCTGCGGTACCTGCGACCAAGCGGAGACAGCTCGGACGCTGGTCCTGAGGGACAGCTGCTTAGTCGCCGCCTGGCGCAGCGCCGTTCTTGATGACGCGAGCATGGTTGAGTTGTGTGCGGGGTGGAAGGGGAGTTGAGGGGCAGCGTAGAGGGAGAGAAGAGGGTGATAGAGCTTCCCGTCGACTATTGTAGTGGGTGGTCTGAGCAAAATACCCCAGAAAAGCAATAAACTCCCCGTCGCCCGTTTCGCGGGAGAGCTTCGATGACTCGGGGCAGCCACGATCGCCTCCGATTCGCTTAGCCGAGCCACCCCTGCTAACTCCGGCGGTCTTCACTAATTTTCATGGCAAACTGGCGCGTCGCGTGGGTGAATTGACTCGGTTTGACATTCAGTAAGACTTCTCGTACACTATGCGACCCGCTCTAAGGCAAGCCAGGACGCTGCTGAACCATGAAGCCTCGGTCCCTCTCTTCCTCTGTCCCGCACTGGTCAGAGCGCCCACAGCCTCTCATCGCCGTCGAACGCCGCAGAAAGAACCTCTAAAGAAGTATTCGACTTTTGTAACGCCTCAGGATCAAATCAATGCCACCGCCCTTCCTACCGATACCAGCGACGATCCTCCCAATAAACTCTCACCAGACACAACCTCAACCCAGAGGTCACTGCCACGGGCATGTCCAGGATGTGGTGCGCCATCCCAGATATACAACAAGAGGGAGGCCGGGTACTACGACGTAGACCGGAACTCGATACGGGAATACCTTGACGGTGTTCAAAAGGCAAAAGAGGCGACTGTCGAGGACGACGTATATGCCAAGGCGCTCAAGAATGTGAATCCTGAGCTGCTCGGAGAATTGGGGCTTCAGGGCGAATCCATCGAAACACAGCCAGAGGATGAAACGCCGTCCACGCCCGTCTGCGACCGATGCCACAACCTCATCCACCACCGCAAAGGATCGCCCATTCACCACCCGACCGTCGAATCCATACAGCAGACCATCGCAGAGTCGCCCCACCGCCGCAATCACATCTACCACGTCGTCGATGCCGCCGACTTTCCGCTCTCCATAGTCCCAAACCTCCAATCGTCCCTGCGGATACCCAAACTTCGGACTCAGAACCGACGCGCAAAACACAAGGGATGGGTCGCCAATGATCGCATTGCAGAGGTCAGCTTCATCATCACGAGGGCTGACCTGCTTGCGCCAAAGAAAGAGCAGGTGGATGTTCTGATGCCATACGTCCGAGATGTGCTTCGAGATGCGCTCGGGAGACAGAACGCGAACGCGCGACTGGGCAACGTGCGGCTTGTGAGCGCAAAGCGGGGATGGTGGACCAAACAAGTCAAAGAAGACATCTGGGAGCGCGGAGGTGCAGGCTGGATGGTCGGAAAGGTCAACGTAGGGAAGTCGAACCTCTTCGAGGCTGTCTTTCCGAAAGGGCGAGGAGCAGATTATCAAGATGTGCGCAAGATCCGGAGCGCAGCCGAGCGTGAAGCAATGCTCAGCAGCGCAAAGTCGCTGGAAGAGCTCACCCGTGTACAAGCACTGCTCGCCGAAGAGGACGCCGAGACGGAACGACTGAAGAACAAACCTAAGCAACATCTCCATAAGCCTCCCGCAGAACTTGAGGAAGAAGCTGAAGAGGAGGATTTCGACGATCCTGATGCACTCCTGCCACCACCGCAGCCATACACACCATACCCCGTCCTCCCAATCGCCTCCTCACTCCCCGGAACCACCGCTTCTCCAATCCGCATCCCCTTTGGCAACAACAGAGGCGAACTCATCGATCTCCCCGGCCTCGCCCGCACAACACCCGGTCTAGAAACCTTCGTTCAGCCCGCCGCCCACGACGACCTCGTAATGAAGAACCGCATAAACTCCGAACGCTACACCCTCAAGCCCGGGCAATCCCTCATCCTCGGCGGCGGACTAATCCGCATCACACCCGCAACCCCCGACCTAGTCTTCCTCGTCCACCCCTTCGTCCCCATCCACCCGCACGTAACGCGGACCGAAAAAGCCATAGACTACCAAGCGCAAACCTCAGACCGCCAACTCCAAGTCGCCCCCATACTCGCTCCCCACGTAGGTCCCAAGATGAACTCAGCCGGTAGATTCCAGCTCAAATGGGACGCGACCAAGAAACTCGCCGGCCCCGTCACCTCCCCCGTGGCAGGCAAGATGAAGCCCGAAAACCTGCCCTTCCGCGTCTGGAGCACGGATATCCTCATTGAGGGTGTGGGCTGGATAGAAGTCAGTGCACAGACCCGACGACCTCAAGGCTGGAAGCCATCTGGCCTCGAGAAGAAAGACCCCAATCAAGCGAAATTCGACCGCATCACGCGCCTCAAGGAGGAGGAACAGCGTAAGAGCAGAAAGTTCGCTGCACTTGCCCGCGCGGAAGAGGAAGGACGGGATGCAGAAGAAATCCTTGAAGAAGAGTTTTACGAAGATGATATGAGGGATAAGATGGCGGAGTGGGAGGAGGACTATCCGGAGGTGGAGGTGTTTAGCCCGCTGGGCAAGTTTGTCGGACAGAGGAGGCCGATGTGTGCGAGTACGGTTAGTGGGCCGAAGTATGTGGCTACTAGGGATAGGAAGGTTAGGCCGAGGAGGAGTATGGTTAGTGTTAAGAAGCAGCGGAAGCCGAAGGGTGGAGAGTAGGGGTTTGGAAGGAGGGGTATGTGTAGATTAGCTGTGTATATTATGGATATGAAGCATGACCACGAAGCTGAACGTTTATGTTAATAGTATTCGTCTACGCCGTACATGAACTCCGTAATGCGTCGATTCAGCCACGTTAACTTTCTCGTCTCCAGGACAATTGCGTCTCCCATACGCCTATTACGCCGATATCTTTCTTTCACATATATCCAATACACATTTACTCCAACGCTCTACTCCAAAGCTTCCTACGTTGCGCAACTGCCCTCAAAGTGACACCGGCGCTTGCTTTCCTAGTTCTTGCCTTGCTCAAGTATGGCCCAGAACTGTTCCTGTTCCTTCGCGCAGTCCCTTCCGTCTTTATCGCAGCCGGGGAAGTTGGCAACGAGATCGCCTTCTGTAAACTGTCCGTCTTTGGGGCTTGCGGGGCCGGTCGCGTAGGCGTTGAGGAGGTTCTGGGGGACCATGGCTAGTTTGGCGAGGATGGTGCCGTGCCATCTGAAGATTCAAAAATTAGCAAACAGTGCCTTGTGTCAGGAGCCCTTCCAGACTTTGCAAGATGTTCAGGAGAAGGAAGAAAGGGAAACTCACTGAACAATATGCTCCAACGCATGACTCTCCGCCTTCTGGAAGTTATAACTCCTGTATATCGGATCGAACCAAGCATCCAGGAAGAACTTGGCCCACTCCCCGTTCCTTACCACGAAACTGCTCGGCGCCAATCCGTCCTTGTCCTGTGTGACGACGAAATCTATTCTGTCGCCCTTGAGGTTACTGAAGGTTTTGATGACGCTGTCGGGGGGCACGACAGGCGCGTTGGTGATCATGTGGGTTTCGAGTTTGGCGGGTGTGAGCAGGTGGGTGTGGATGGGGAGTGCGGTGTTCATGATGAGCGCTGTGGCGTCGAGATACCAGAAGAAAGTTGAGGTAGGGTAGAGCGTCATGGCGTGGCGGGTGCCGGGGACGCGTGACCAGGTCGCGGGGGAGTTGCCGATGGGGTATTGGTCTGCGGTGGGGAAGAAGGTGAGGTAGCCTGGGACGGGGGGTTAGTATAGCTCTTTACTCTGGTATCGCAACGGGCGGGAGGAGAGAGTTGATACGTACCATGTTTCTTGGCGTATTCTTCCCTGTTGCTCTTGATCTTTTGTATCCAGACCGGGTCGGCCTTGGGATCTATTGTTGTAATCACCACCACGGGCGGTCCGCTCCCTATCGCCGGTTTGGGTATGTTCGCGGCTGTCCAACCCCCAACTTTAGAAGCTGTCCTCCTGCTAGTTCCTCCACTACCACTCAGCATCCATATCAGGACAAAGAAGCCCAGTACACCGCCGACTATCAACCGTCCTGCCCTGCTGCGAAGGAGGTTCTTAAGCGCAGGTGGAATCGCAATTCCTCCGCTCTGGTTGCGGGCGGCATAGGGCGGTGGTCGCGACGTTTTCCTCGGGGGCATGGCGAAATGCATGATGTGTCGTAAGCGTCCGTGGTCTCGGGAAGATCACTCGCAATTGCGGTTTGGTTCGGGATTGGTGAAAGCGGAGCGAGCGATGGGCCACCTGGAGATCGTGAAGTCGGGAATTGGGCGTGGAAATTCGTTACGAGAACATTGCGGGTTATGCGAAAGAGGTGAACGGCCGCTGTGCAGAAGACGGGCACGGCTGGGGCTGGGGGATGCTGTGCGGTCGCGGAAAGGGTCGAATTAATCTAGACACGCGACGACATGGGATGCGATGCGATGGGCCTTGGCAGGAGGGACCTTGCCTTAGCGGCCGCAGGGCAGGGGCAGCGGGCTGAGGAGAGGAGTCACGTTGCCTGAGTACCGGCGTGTCTTTTGGCATTCCACATGGATTTGCATATAAGTTGTTGGTGCTTCTCGTCGCCAGTGATTACTGCTCAACGCCGCGCTTGCACGTGGTGCAACTCTTCCACGTTGCGTTATCTCCTTCCGAGCGGGCTATCGTCAACTTCAATGATAGCACACCATGGGCTTCGCCAAGCCCGCAATCATCCCAGAATAGAGGCGATACGGACTTAGCACATGCCTTTGCTGAGCACAATCATTCAGATACGGGATTCAAACGCTGCCGATATCTGGCCTTTCCGCGAAGACGTTCGTATTCGCCGACTTTCACCTTCAAGGAGCCCATAGTGGATGAGCTACGCTGAAGAAACATCGCATGAGTTTTCCAGTATTGAATTATGGTAGTTCCGGTTCCAGATGGTGAGGTGCAAGATAACGCGAAGAATACAACGTCTTCGAGGAGCGCTCGCCAAGACTCGCGAGGTTCTACGTCAAGATCTTCGACATGGGAAACTCCAGCGAAAAGACAGATTCACAGCTAAAGCGGAAGCTCGGTACAATCGCCAAGCGCTTTCCTTATCCACATGCGATATGACGACTGCTTGCTAATACAACACGCTCATAGCTTTGCAGCTACTTCTGCGTTACCCGCTATGACGTCGCCTGTCTGTCACAGTAAAGGGACGAATCCCTTAAGAAAACTGCGATGGATCGCCATCTTACCGGCATCAATTCACTTCCAACTCACGAGTAATTTCTCAAATCACATTCCATCCTAGCTTCTCTAATATATCGCAAACCGCAATCATGGTCGAAAAGGTTATTCAACTGAGATGCGAGTGCAATCAGTACCCGTGGGGAAAGCAGGGCTCAAAGTCGCTGGCGGCGACTTTGTGCGAGAAGACCCCAGGCACACAATTCAAGGTTGACGAGAACACAAGTTACGCTGAGATGTAAGTTTACAAACCCACATGGTCGAATGCCGTCTAACATAACCAGGTGGATGGGCACATATCCTGAATTGCCTTCGTATGTACTAGAGACTGGCGAGGACCTTCAAAAGGTGCTCGACAGACATCCAGATGAGCTTGTGGGAAAGGCCACTGCCGAGAAGTTCAACCACACCAAGCTGCCATATCTGCCCAAGGTCCTGTCGATAGCGAAGGCTCTACCTCTGCAACTACACCCGGTATGTTCATCTCTACATGGATCTGTTCCACAACTGACACAGTATCAGAACAAAGACTTGGCTTCCAAGCTACACGCAAAGAACCCGGATCAGTTCACCGACCCCAACCACAAGCCAGAGATCGCGTTGGCTCTCGGCGACTTCGAGGCTTTCTGCGGCTTCAAGCAACTGAAAGACATCGAGCGTTTGATGCAGCTACCGCCACTCCAAGCCTTCCTTCCAGAGGTCAAGAAGCCTGAGTTCGACGACCAAACTCTGAAGCACGTTGTCAAGGAAATGCTGTTGGCGTCTGAGGATGCTGTACGCAAAACCAACGACGCACTCATGAAGATTCCAAAGGAGCAATTCGGCGAACACAGCTACATCCCAGACATGATTCCTCGTTTGGCTGAGCAGTATGACAAGGCAGACAACGGAACCCTTGTTGCTCTCATCACCATGAACTACCTCCAGCTCAAGGCTGGCGACAGCATCTACATCCCCGCCGACGGCATCCACGCGTATCTCTCCGGTGATATTATCGAGTGCATGGCCCGATCGAACAACGTCTTGAACACTGGTTTCTGCCCACGCGCCGACCGCGACAACATCGACATGTTCTGCTCAAGTTTGACTTTCACACCACATGACGCCAAGGAGGCGATCCTACCAGCAAAGTCTTTCGATGGAAGCAAGAACGGCAAGACGCAGCTGTACGCACCACCTCTAAGCGAATTCAGCATGCTAGCCACAACCATGGGCGATGGCGATTCCGAGACGATCCGGTCGCTCGGTGGACCAAGTGTTATGATCGTGACCGAAGGCGAGGGCACCATGAAGGGCAACGGCAAGGAATACAAGCTAAGCGCCGGCTACATCTTCTTTGTCGCTCCAGGCGTAGAGCTAGAGTTCAAGGCCACGAAGCCGCTCAAGGCGTTTACCGCATTTGTAGAGTAGATCGACACATGTACGTACCTGACAATGAGGCTCAACCCCGCGGAGGTGGCTAGCGGCCGATTGGGCGGACTAGAGCTTCCCCGCACCTTTCACGTGCGCGTGCCATCAGCACTACGCATGTACTTTGGCTGTGTAGTTGTATAGCCAGAAAGCTTATAAGTCGAGAGCGGAACATACTCGGATCCGCACGCGCGTGTACTGGTGATCTCCACATGTATCCTTGTTCCCCCGCACTTGATGGCAGGTACCCCTCTGTAGCTGGGGATAGCTATAAAACCCCGCAATAGAGCTCATGCTTGCTCGTAGGATCATATTCGTTCCTCTTTGGTTGCTTCTTGATCAATGGAGTTGACATTTGACGTTGTTGAGCTTGCGAATCGCGTTCAGCGGCCTGAAGTTTGCCAACATCATCGCCAACTTGAATCGCAGCACTCGTTCAGCTACTATAGCCAGGTAAGCAGCAAAAGCAAAAGCAATGCTATCCGAAGATTCCACAACTTAATGTCGCTAAGTCTGTTCAATAACACTAACATCAAACCAAGCCCTTCCAACCCCCCAAATCCAACCATGGCAACCACCGCTCCAATCCCAGCCGAAAAGCGCGACTCAATGGAAGCAACCGCCAACACGCTCGCCACCAAAATGAAAGCGGCTTCCCTCGCCGAGACACCCCGAAAGCGGCCTCTCGGTCTAACCGACCTCCCCGCATCAGTCCGCAACAACATTTACAAGCACTGTCTCGACACCGAACTCGTAAACCACGGCGCACCCAACGTGTCCTACACGCACACCATCTCCAAAGACGAAGGCATCTTGACCTTCTCCGCGTCACGCAACCCGTTCCCCGTGAACACAGCGCTGTTCTTTGTCAACAAGGAGATAAGCAAAGATTCGCTGTCGTATTTCTATGAGAAGAATCTCTGGGTCAGATTCGATGTTTATACAAGCGACGCCCGGCACGCGAAGACGTTGCTCGAGGATTCTGGGCTCCTCTTCTCAACGGCGAAGAGCGAGGTCGTAGAGAAGAGCACGCGCCACGCCCTCGAAATCGTCCTCGTGGAGAAGAACAGCGCGCAGAAACGCGCTTCCGTCATGTTCCCAGCTCAATACCTCCCCCGGCTTATCAACTTCCTTGACCAAGCAAGCCGCGCAACGAAGACATGGGCTCAAGGACGTAGTCTCTTCCTCAATGTAGTAAACACGTATGGATTCCCCGTGTCAAAACTACAAGGAGACCTGCTCGAGCTGTTCCGTCTGATGAGCGGCTTTGGCAAGGTGGAAGTTGATGGCCAGAATCTGCTTCCGCGGTACGCGGAGGGTCTGCAGAACAATATGATGGGCGAGAAGTTTACGGCAGAGGCATATATGAGCAGTGTACAGGAACTAGCTGATCTGGCGGATGAAGCGAGGGAGAAGGAAGAGTATGCGCTTGCGAATGAGTACGCTCAAGCTACTATCATCGCGCTGACGTACGGATATCTGACGCATGCCGAAACGCTTCATTCGCAAGAGGAGGAGTTCAACAAGTCCATGCAACGACTGCGTTGGAAGACAGAACTGGGCCTCGGCATCAGTCTTTCCATTCCACTCCGGGGCCTCACGTCAACAAAACATTGGCTGCGAACTTCGAACCCAACAGACGAGATCAGGAAAGCAGCGAAAGACCTACTCCAAGCCGAGAAATCAGTTTCCCAGGCGCTTAGTCTGGCATGCGACGCTCCTTCCCCCACCTCGAACCCTTGGTTCCATTCCATCCCCGTGGAGCTAATTCCACCCAACAAACCCTCTTTCTTCACCGACCGCGAGAGGGCGCAGACGTGGTATGTGCTGGGTACTGTGCATATGGCTTTGGGCGAGTATATCTTTGCTTGCGGCGATATGGAAAGGGCGTTGGAGTTGTGGGGTAAGGACAGTGGGATTGATGAGGAAGGTGGGTTGAGGGCGAAGATGGAGGAGACGTTTGAGAAGGCACGGAAGGGGATTGATGGGGATGCGGAGAGTATGTGGGTTGGTGATGTGAGGCCGGGTACGGGGTTGAAGACGGCGGCGAAGTTGGCTAGGGGGTTGTGAGATGTGGGATTGTTGGAGGTGAGGTCTCTGTATCAGTGGATAGCATGTTTCGTAGTGCAATTTCTAGGAGTTTGCACTACGAGACATGCTATCCACTGATACAGAGACCTCAAGCACTCATGTGTATGCTTTGAAGTCGTTGCATGCATTTAGTGTTTGAACGCCATGAAGAGCAACAGATACACGACAACGAATGCTTGTGTTGTCTTTCGAATCCATAGCCATCTCCAGGCACAAATTTGCATCAAGCTCATGCTAGCCTTCTTCCAGTGAGCACGCTGGTGGCGCTAGAACTTTTTCGTGCCCATCACAAGTAAGAGGATAGACTGAGATACTCAGGTAGCCACAGTCCTCGCTTGTATGCGGAGTTCCCGCTTGTTCTGCGCTGGCGCCCTTGGTGCTTGAAGGCCCTTTTTAAGCCTTGTATACAAGCGACGTGGTGGAAATTCCATCGCATTTATGCAGCCATTGTATAGCTTGTTACCTTTTGGCATTGACGTGAAAAAAAAGCATGCCATACGACCTAATCAAACAAGGAATGCCGTTGCGAGGATGTGATGTTGACGTGAGTTATGTTCGGCATCCATTAGTACCGTGTTGCGCATCTCCAGACTTCACCAGCCTTGCGTCTATCGTCGTCTTGTGGCTTGCTACTGCCGTCCCAAGGTCATGGTACCGAGTGCTTTTCCCGTGATCGTCCTTGGGCGCATGCGGCGGTGACCGGCGTGAGATGAGGCCACCATGGCAAACAGCAGTTAGACTTAACAACGCACATTCTTTTCCGGTGTTTCCATCGATGGCCTAGATGTCGCTTTGTCAGTTAGTGTGCATTTGTCGTGGGGAAGCCTGGGCCCAGCGAGGTTGTAGGTTCGGACCTTTTCTTTTAGTTCAGGCACGAGCCGCCTTGAGGCGCCAGCAAGCCACCAATAAAGGTAGCGATCCTCGCTTACCTCGAAGTGTACACTTTCACCAGGGGAAAGAACTTAGTTTCACCTCCCTTGTGCTGCATCGGGTTGAACAACGAAGAGGTAGTGCCCAAGTGAGGAAGGCTTCGGCAAGACTCTCGCAGCGCACGTGGTGAAATGCCGCCGCTAACATCGCTCACGCCCGAGTCCCCAGACAATCCTCCCGAGATCTCGGATTGATCGAGTGACATCTCGTCTCCCACGAGACTGCTGGACTCCGCATTCATTCTAGTCATCGCAAGCCCAAGTACTCGTCTTACCGGATTGGGGACCTCTTTTCAGCTCTGCACTTCGAGGCCATGTCCAGCTATCGTTGGTTTGCGCTTGGCATCCTCGCCTATGTACACACTCTTACCATCACGCGAGTCTAGTCCCTTGTCCAATCTGCACATTCGAACGGGCTGAGAGAATCTGGGGACGAGGCTCGTCGAACTCAGCTCACCATGATACTTCGAGACCAACGCCACAGATCTATCGCATCGGCAGCTCCGCTGGAGTGTGCTGTGAACCTCCAACATGAATAGCTATAAAGATTGTTTGTACCCAGGTACAGAGGTACTCATCAGCAGCAATCGCCGACATCCTTTCCTCAGCCTTCTACTCCTCCCCTTCTTTCGACATGCGTTCGGTTCACGCTTTCGCGGCTTTGGCCATGACAGGCTGCGCAGCAGCCCTGCCTCAATCAATCCCTCTCGGTGAAGTCGCTGAGATACCCGCCGCGCCAATCACTGAGACTCCGCTTGGTGAGGGTGCTGGTACCAAGGTCGTGCCCTACTCTCCAGATGCTGTGGTTGCCGACACCTTTGCCTCAGTCCTCGCGGATCCTGCCTCTGCCGACAAGTCACTGAAGCGAAGAGGTTGGGACTGCTCAGAACAGCCTCTTGGAAAAGGACCAGTCCCAAGCCCCGACTCTCCGGAAGCTTTCCTAGCTATGGAGGAGATCTCAAAGGCTGCTACTGATGCCTCTACACCGGCTGGCTATGTCAGCAAGTTCAAGAACTTGAAGGGCAGCAACAACGCCGTGGCATATCTTGGGTACAAGACCTTGGATACCTACGACACCCAAGCCTGTGCCGACTCTTGCACTGAGAAGGAAGGATGCTCCGCGTTCAACATCTGTAAGTGTTACCTATCTACTCCCCTGAGTGATAGCTTTTACTCATATTGTCTACAGTCTACGAAAGGGACCCTTCTGTAGTTCCTGCCGATTCATGCTCCAACCCTGCTAGCACTACAGTCATCAAGTGTGTACTGTGGGGAAGCCCTGTTACCGCCGAAACAGCTGTCAACAGCGGACAGTGGCGCGCAGACTTTCACGTAGTCATTGCTGGATCAAACGGTATGTCCATGAATGCTTAACATGGTTGAACCGCAAATTTCCTAACAAATCCCAGGCTATGACAGCGAGCATGTGGTATCTGTAGACGGCTACAGCGGCGAGTCTCTTGGAAACGTTGCCATCAACGCTCCCAACGACTGCAACGGTGACGATACTGTAAGCACTTCATAACCACCTCGTTCACATACAGCCGCTGACTCTTATCCAGTACATGGGCTACAAACTCTTCAACGATGGCCAGCCCTTCGAACCCGCCCGCTGCGCCGCAGCATGCGAAGCCGAAACCAAGTGGAACGTCGAGCACCTCAACAGCCGCATGCTGTGCAAGTTCTTCAACACCTACGTCCTGATGAAGAACGGCGAGCCCCAAGGCCAATACTGCTCTATGTACACCCAGAAATGGGCGAAGAGCGTGGCTGTCAACGATGGCCAGTACCGTGGAGACGACCACTACACCATTGCTTCCAGCTACTCCTACTCCAACACCGCCGATCCTGGAAAGCCTAAGCTTCCTTGCGATGTCGCCGCCGCCAAGTCCGCTATCATTGCTTCGTCGCTACAGCCATTCTGCTCTACGTTCCTTGGATACACGACGCAGGTTTCGACTGTGATCGCCACGGAGTTTACCACTGTTCCTGCTACTACTGTTGTCAACACGATTACGCCCGTCACTACAACTACAACGACAGTCACTCAGGCTCCAAGGAAGCGCGATGTTGCTGGTCCCGACACACCTGCTGGTCTCGCTGAGTTTGCTCCCAGTGCTGTCTCCGCAGCCTGCAGTCTGCAAGCTACCCCCATCACAGCAACCGCTACGACTTCTACTACTACTGTCGCGACGGTCAGCACTGGCACTGCATCAACAACCACCACTCTCCCTGTCCGTACTACCATCGTCACATCGGTGGTTGCAGCAGCGCCGACATGCACTGCCGGCGCCAACCTCATCAAAAACGGTGGCTTCGAACGTGGTCTGACGTCTTGGTCAACGGATGTGTGGGGTAACCGGAATGCGCCGCCAACTTGGGGAACATCTATTGGTGGCTCCAGCGGCGGTTCCAGCGACGGTCACTCTTTTGAGGTCCGAGTTAACAAAGTAGAACCCCGCTTAGGCACCGGCATGATCCTGAGCCAGCCAGTCACCGGTCTGATTGTAGGTGTCACATATACCTTCTCCTACAAATACCTCGTCACAGACTCGCCATCTAGCTACATATTATGCTGGTTGGACTCGGAGAATACGAAGACGAAGACTATGACGAATGACGGGCGTGTCAACTCTTGGCTTACAGGACCCAACGGTAACGCACAGACGTTTGTGGCGACGAAAACATCGGGGGTCTTCCTTTGCTTATTCACTGCCGAAAATCCCCAGGTTTTCCGCATTGATGAGGTATTCCTAGGGTGCTAGAGAGACAGGACAGCTTTGGTACAGTTCTTACTCAACTTCAAAATGTAAATTCGTTGAACAACTCCTTTAAGGCTCTTCTTTGGTGTGGACACTGTGATGAATGTTCATAGTCCATATATGTGAGCCCAGCGCTGAACGAGCTCACTGTGCTAATACCGTTACATACACGACTACTGCAGCTTGAACAAGATAACCTTGAGAAGCGATTTCCCGCTCTGGAGCGAAGCCTGCAGTATCAAACGATCGACAAGCTGCAACAACGGAGACGATCTCTGGTAATGATGACGATGTTCATGATGGGGCAAATGGAGACATGTATTGTGACTCCATGGCGCTAACGATGACAGAGCATTCATAGTCGGTGGTATGAGAAACAAAGGGTGGAATTCAATATGGATCTATCTATGTAGATGCAAGTTGTGAATTGGTCAAACTTTTGCGCAGTATCTGCAGTACCATTCTTGATACAAAGAACGGACGGGGAGGAACATGTAAGATGATAAATGATACAGGGAAGTGAGCGAATATTATAAAGTGTTAAGAGAGGCTGGATCAAATTTGGATCAGGCTTAAAGAGCCCGGAGAAACTCATGGATAGCGGCCGTGATGATTTGTTGGCCGTTTCGTCGTCAATGTATGTCTATGTTCGAATGCCGCGCCTCTGATGTTGGAAAAAGTGTGTCGTACAAGACGCTGTTGCTAGCGAGCGCGTAACGCGTATCACGTGATTACGCATATGCCGATTCAGTCACCGCTTGTTCATGTGTCCATGGTTGAGGTCGCTCCACCATCATACCTGGATATGGCCGGAGAGATCGCTCTGGTGTAGGCAGCATCGGCCCAGTAGGGATCGGTGGGCGAGGAGGTGACTTGGCAAAGAACTGCTCGAGCGTCTCGCCTCTCTCCAGAGCCTGGACCTGGCCTTGTCGGAACTCTTCCAGTACGGCTGACTCAACGGGTTTCGGATCGAAGTACGTGTATGTTCTCGTGCCTTTGACACCCGGAAGACCAGGCGCCTTGTACTCCGCGACGCCGTCCTCGTATTTCTCATACGTGGAGACAAGACGCTTGCCGCCACCTCCGGGAAGGTCGATAACGAACGACGGCATCATGAAGCCGGACAAAGTTCCTCGGAGTTCCTTGTCGAGGTCGATGATCTTGCTGAGAGGTGTTCGGAGATCTTCGATGCCCTGTACCATATCACATTGATAGACGTAGTACGGTTGTATGTTGATGTTTGAGAGCTTCTTGATGAGGTCTGACAGCGGTCCGAAATCGTCGTTGACGCCTTTCAAGAGAACAGACTGGTTGCGCACGATAACACCATGCTTGAAAAGCTTGTTCGCAGCAAGTTCTGTTATCCACGTGATCTCGTTGGCGTGGTTGATGTGGGTATGAAGGCAGACTTGCTTGCCCATGCTGAAAGTTGCGCAGTTGTATTAGCCTCATTACATATAGGTGGTAGATGAATGACTTACTCTCGACCTTTGTTAGATACTTCAATCAAGCTGTCGACCCATGGATCACTATCGTCAAGTATGCGACCAGGAGCTACAGCCAGCCCCTTCGAAGCGAACCGGACCCGTTTGATGTGCGCAATGTTGAGTAGTCTCTCGCCAATCTCTTTGATATGATCGGGCTGCAAAAAGTAGGCGTCACCGCCGGATACAACAATGTCTTCGAGCGACTCATCATTGGCGATATGGTCGAAGATGACTTCCCATCGCTTGCGGCTGGGCTTTTGTGGTTTCTTCGATACGGTATCGGTGTTTCCTCCGACTGCGTAGGACCGCGTACAGAAGCGACAGTAGACGGGACAGATTGATGTGGCCAGGAACAAAGCTCTTCCAGGGTATCGGTGGACTAACCCAGGGACGGGACTGTCTGCTTCTTCGTGCAAGGAGTCCAGCTCCATGTTCTTGTGATCGGGGATGATGCCGCTTCTAAGTGGGAGAAATTGTCGCCGGATAGGATCATCCACGGCGTTTTGCCAATCAACAAGCGAGAGTACGTGTGGTGTTAGGCGGATGGCCATGGGTGCCAGCTTGATAGCAGCGATCTGTATCCGTGTCAGCATCAACATATGTATAGGGTGGTGCGAGCTGATGAGTTACGCACAGCATCCTCGATAAAATCGTTCTTTGTACGAATCTTCCGGAGTTGATCATGCTGCGAGCGCAGTAGTTTGTCGGGCAGAGTTGTATTAAGGAACTGATAGAGCTTGTGCTTGTCGAAGACGGTATTGCGAAGCTAAGAAAGTCAGTCTTGTATCTAATCGTGTATTGTGGGGATCAAAAGAGATTTGTATCGACGTACCTGCCATCTGTAAGATATGAATTCCTCATTGGAGACGTCCTTCCATGGTTGAATATGATCCCAGTAGGGTTTCTGAGCGGACAAGGTCGATTGACTTCTGTGATTCGATAGTAGACGTGCTGCGCAAGTGAAGCCCGACTGGAAAGGCTGTCTCCCAGCCATGATACTTGGAACAAACATGCTTGGATACATGTCGGTAGGTGGATGTCACAAGAAGGAGGGATGTGGGAAGATGGGCTGGGACGAAACCAAAGCTAGAAATAAATTTTCAAGAGTAGGGAACGTGTTTATCGAGCGCGTCACACGCGTTGCACAACCCGGTGGAAGGAGCTGTCGCTCGCCTCGTCGTCTAGGTAGGAGCGATATAGATGCTGTGCTACGACAGGAGCAGGAGCAACCGCTAAAGTGGGTCTTTTGCAATCTGAAAGAATTGGGCAGGCACGCTCGACTACCGCCAAGTTCTGTTCGTTATCGGATGCAGGAGATCTCTAGGATGTGTTTGGGCCTGGAGTTTGCTGAGGGCCATCCTTCATGACCTATTCGGGTGCAGCGCTACAGCGATTTAACGAATTCGGTGACATGTGGGTGAGGAGCAGTAACTGGCCATGGCCCGCATGGTGTGTATAGGGGTTATAGTGACGGAAACGCCCAGTGGAGAAAACATAGCACGGCGCCAGCTCGAGAAGAATGGTGGAATGGCACTGGCAGGGCATTCGTATCACAATATCGCTTGATCCAGATTTCCCATGCGGCGGCCATCAAGGGTCCCAGGATCAATCAGATAACTTTGAGTAATAGCTGGTAGGCAGGCGAGGATGCGTATCGAAAAGGGGCTTACGAAGCACAGTAATCCATCCTGTACTGGCTGGAACTGGGGACCGACATGCAAGAAAACCGCAGGTCTACAAGGATCGCTTCCATATCCCCTCCCATGGGCCCGATCCTCGGGTCAAGCCAGAGGCCCGGAAGCTACAAGCGGCATGCATGCTAGTGGTACAGCAGGCGAATACTGCATTAGCTTTCCTCGTATGTTGAGTGGACATAGAACTTGCATCCGCGGAATCCTTTGGGCTGCCATATTCGTAAAAGAGTCGTAAGCTCAAGCGACTCCACCAGAGGCAGGAGTGCTGGCCAGCCTAATCGGTCAAAGATGACCGGCAAATGGACATCGCACGGCCCGTACCGCGCGTGTGACGGGCGATATTGACCCAGACTGTCGGGATGGCAAACCTCGCAATAGTGTTGCGATCGAGTGAGAGGTTAGCACACGTCAGGAGTGGCAAGGAGACGCTCGGCATGTCGCCGTTCATGTGAAGAGGTGCAGATAGTGCCAGTGCTAGCGGGGAGATTCCGACGTTCCGTCGCGCCTTCCGCTAGTTTCGCGCCAAGCCATGACCTCAGCCCCTCCAAACAATAGTGAGGGCTGCGATCACGATTGATAACTACCGCGACAGCTCAACTCTCTACATCACCCCACCGCTTCCATGGCTGATTCTCCCGCTTCCGCGACTAGCGCGCTGCCCGGCGAGTCGCCCGCCCAGACCAAGGCCAGACTGCGCAGAGAGCGGCTGGCTGCCAAATCCGGCGCCTCACGTCTCCAGCAGATTACTGCTCTCCAGGGCGGCCCACCAAAGCCGCTCAGCGAACTCGAGAAAGACGTGCCAGGTAACGGCTCCTCCCTTTCGAACACATTAGCCTCCACATAGTCCCCCCTAGCTTCGTCCTACAACAGCGTGAATGCACGGCTAATGGCATTCTAGTCAAACCCGCCTCTACCCCGTCCCAGTTTACACCCTCTGGGTCTGGCACGGCTACTCCAGATCCAGATGAAGTGGATATTTCGCAACACCACTACGCGCCGGCATCGCAGCCTCGTCTCCCCTCGCCATTCGCTTTCGAGGGTGGCCAGTCCGGCCCATTCGGCCCAGGCCCAGGCACGGATGCATCGCAGGATCCCATGATGGCCATGCTCCAGCAGATGATGGGCGCAGGCGCTGGCGGTATGCCTGGCATGCCCGGTGCCCCAGGTCAAGCTGGCGCACCACCAGGCGGCATGCCACCCGATCTCGCCAGTATGTTCTCGGCCATGCAGGGCGGTGCCGGTGCCTCTGAGCCGCTGCCAGAGCAATCCTCGGCGTGGATCTGGCGCTTAGTACACTCTGTCTTCTCGTTTGGCCTCGCCGTCTACATTGTCCTGCAAACACCATTTACTGGATCCAAGATGTCACGCGATAATGTGCTGGACGATGACTGGGTCAGCCAATCGACCCCAGCGCAGAACTTTGCGCACTTCTTCTATCTCTTCGCGACTTTCGAGGTGGTCTTGCAGTCCTCGCGCTATTTCATCGAAAAGGGCCAATTACAGGGAAGCGGCATTCTCAGCACGGTCGCTGGTATCCTACCAGCACCGTATTCGGGCTATGTGAGGACTGTGGGCAGGTACAGCGTCATCTACAAAACAGTTGTGAGCGACGCTATGGTGATAGTATTCGTCTTAGGCGCCACGAGCTGGTGGAGAGGTGCCGCTGCTGCATGAAGCGCTGCAATTTCTGGCATAAGTAGAATAATGGTATGACAGGCATCCTTGTACCCGCTTCCTCTTTGATGCAGAGCTCCACTCAGTATTACCTAGGTGTGCTGTAACTCTCAAACAGCCAGTTAATATCTCGGCTCGATACCACAGTCTGGGACAGACAAATGTCGCACCCATCTCAGTGTCCACGTGTGGGCAGGTTTTACGCGCACTATATCTCTGTACTTGCTCACCTCGGGCGACATCGCAACCTCATCGACCACCGCCACTATTGCTTCCGCCTAGTGTATGCACGTCATACCTTGTTACACGCTCCACGAACCACTAATGCATCACACTTCTCCCCATACATGGTAAACAGTCACACTGCGCAAGCTCTATGCACATCATTCCTCTGCGCTGCACGGAAGCTATGATTATTTTGATATCACGAGACCTGTAGATCTTTCCCAGGCGCGCGGAATTCCATCAATCATGCGCACATGGCAGCTAGCATTTGTTGGGCAGCCAGGGCCCGTCCCGCGGCTGGCAGCAGGAGTCCCTGGCCAACACGCGTCGCTCAACAGCAAGACGCACTCGACATTTTCGTTTGTTCTCGCCTCCGGTGAATAGCGCACCCGTACACGCGTTACAGTTAAACCGCCATAGCCGTCCTGCATACGTTTCACCGCCATGTTCGGCGAAAATTCCCGAATCTTGCAAATTGCCTTTGTGCATCATGCAAATTCGTCTCGAATTCCCATCACCGCACGCTCCTGACCGGATGCGAGCTTCACGACCGTTGCTCCAGAGGTCTCGGGTATGCATACGAGTCATGTTCGAGACGTGGCGTCACCTTGCCCTTTCAGTTGATTCCACTGCGTTGGTCGACAGGGTCGCACGCAGCGCCATACCCAAGGCCCCTTTACAGCAACTTGAGGTGCCCAGTAACCTGATCTATGACGCCCTTGGGTGCAGGACCGATACCCAGTACTGTCGCACTTCCACTCGCGATTTGTGTCCGTCCCGCATCGTGGATAATGTGTGCCACCAATCCTAGGCTCAGTGCCTGCGCCTGCAACAACTCTAACTCTTCTTCGCTCTTGACTTGTAATGCCACCTTGGCTTGTCCCATTCGCTCCCAGCGCTTTAGCAACGTCGATTCCGGGGCGTGTCGGAGGAAGTGCTTGTAGCAGGCCAGAGTCGCGTGTCCGCATTGTGCGCCAATCTTGCCTGTTGTATGGTTAAACATTTTGTAGATAATAGACATGTGTCAAGAATTGCAATACCTTTTGTCATGCCGAGATCTGTTCGTACGACCAATACCATCTTGCACTCCTCGTTGTGACCTGGGAACTCTGCAGGCGCACTGTCGTCGTCTTCATCGCTCGACTCGTCTTCTGAATCTTCTGAGTCTTCTGCCTTTTCTTTCTTCTCAGATTTCTTTGGCTGAGAGATTGGGCTGCCACCAAGGAAACCAAGTGACTTTGCTTGCCCGATCATGTAGCCTGTTACACCAGCGAGGATGGCGCATGCGGCTGCTATGTTTGCAGTAGAGGGTTGTTGGGGAGTGTCTGCCATGTGTGCGGTCGGACGTAGGATACAGTATATGAAGAACAGTAATTTTACAAAAGAAGAATCTCGGGAAGTAGTGTTTTATGAGAGAGGATTTGGGCGATTGGCAGAGTCATGAAGTTCCATGGCACTCCCGCCCGCAATTGTAGAGCTAGACGTCAGGCTGAGGGTCCGTGCTGGCAACATCTCGAATTTGCGGACTACCGAGCACGTCGCCCACTCCATCACGACAGCACCACCGCTGTCTCGGCCCTCTCTCACAATGCACGCCCGAGGTCAATTAATCTCTGGGCGCACCGCAGCCCAAGGACTCGCCCTTCGCCCGGCCCAGTCAACCTGCCGAACGTACGCGACGACGGCGCCCACGCCCGCAGTGAAGAACCCACTACAGCGACGACGCGGCGGTGATCTCGGCTCCCATCTTCCCATAAACATCATCCCGAAAGATGCATACATTCCCCCATACCCCTATGGCGCCCATCAGCTGTTCAAGCAGGCCAACAAGGGTCTCTACGGCGATCAGATGATACGCTTCGGCAACAATGTCTCCAAAGACACCGAAACGAAGACACGGCGCAACTGGAAGCCCAATGTGCTCTCTAAAAGTCTATACTCAGTCGCACTGAAGAAGAAGATAAAGCTGCGCATCACCGCCAAGGTTCTCAAGACGATGGATCGTGAGGGTGGGCTGGACGAATACCTGCTCAAGGACAATGTGGCACGCATCAAAGAGCTCGGACCTATGGGATGGGCACTGCGATGGACACTGATGCAGAAGCCGGAGGTCATCGATCGGTTACGGGCAGAAGCTGCGGCTCTTGGCATAGACCAGGCCACAATCGACAAGCAATGGCCTACGCCCCAAATGATGGCCGAGAACAAAGCTGCCCACGGTACGCTCTCCCAAAGCATGCCCGCCGGCGCACTCGAGAGCCTAGAGTTCACGGAGACGGAGGACCAACAGATGTGGTCTGGGGATGAAGTCAAAGACATAACCGACCCAAAGAAAAAAGGCCCAAAGGCGTACAAAGTGCGAGTTGATGTCGGCGTCGAGTACACCAAAGCAGTCAAGGCTGCACAGCGTTACGTATCCCGCGATGCCGTCGACAGCATAGAAGAGGGCCTTAAACTAGCCTTCATCCGAGCCAAAGAGCGCGAAGCAGAGAGACTCAGAAAGAAACAGATAGTGAACGAAGCAGGCATCACACAGCAAGACCTAGACGAGACCAGGTCGAAGTTTAATCTCCCAGACATCAGCGATGAAGCCGCCCGGAGAATCACTTTCAACCAGCGGAGACGCAAAGAGATCGACGAAGCCGGCGGTATCGAAGCCTGGAACAAGATTAAAAGCGCTGCACACGACGCGAAGGTAGCAGAAGCAGGTGGCATCGAAGCCTACAATGCCAACAAGAAAGCCTACAACGCTTCTCTCATCGCGGAAGCGGAGACTGCTTCTACCAACGAAAACATGGATCCCGAACGAAGGGAATACCTCGAAATGGCGCTGCTAAAGGCGGACCTCGCCATCAAGCATAGACTTGCTGGTGGTAAGGAGGATTACGTCGAGTCGATTTTGGAGTTGTACAGCAATGGAGGGCTCCGCGCGACTGGTGGTGGTGGTGGTCTGGGTGAGATTTACCAGGCTGCGGAACGCGAGAGGAGTGCGGGTGGTGATGCTTGGGGCGCGCTGGTTAATGAGAGTAAGAAGGGTGATGAGAATCGTCCACGCTCATGATGAGGGTGTTGATATGTACAAATATTGTTTGTATATTATGAACTTCGCTGGCAGTGTTGACGCTGCGCTTCTACCTCGGTCGCGTCTTTCAGTGCTTTTTCTTCCACACAGATTCGGTTCGATTGCTTACATGCTGCCCGTCGTTTACGCCTCCATGTACTGACATTCCCACCAGTGAGCTTTGCGCAGAGCCGATGCCTTCAGCAGCGATTAAGACTTCCGATATTTGATTACTCGTAAGGCTGAATGTTTAGCGTTGGCTGGGTCATTGGTGCGCTTCGCTCTTGCCGTCCGGGGCTGCAGGAAGGTCGTGCTGGAGCCTGTCATCTCAGCTTCTGCTCCTGCCGCAGTCCATCCCCGAATCACAAATCTCTTCGCCCTATCCACAGACCACGCCGTCTTGATTCCGCTCCCGCCTCATCATTGTGTTTACAACCGGGGATAAAAATGTCCTCTCACGCACCGGCCAGCGTTTCGGGGCTCGTTCATGAACAAGTAACGCGCAGCCTTGCCACACAAGACCTCCCCGTGGCCACTAAAGAGTTTGGGCAGAACCATGAGACTATGCAAGTATTGCTTAGAGATCAAGCTCAAGTAATCAGTGTGTATCCAAACGAGGACACTGTCCACTCGCGTTTTGCGCAAGAAGATAGTGGCCACGTGCCCGCCAGATACGCGAATCATATGGTGTTAGAAATACCCTACTTCCAGTCTGGTCCAAGCACTCGAAAAGACGACATTCGCTCAACACCTCATTTCAATTATATGCGGACTGACGGCTCCACGTCGGAAACCATCGAGGGCGAAGCCTGGATACCAGAGGGGGTAAAATTCTGTGAGGGGTCTCTGATCAGTTGCACAGTTTTCGGTTCCCGTTCTTGCAACCCGGCTGACGTGCTACACTGCCTAATCCGAGACGGCTACGTTTCTGCAAAGTTCGACTCTTCTCTCAATGGCACGAGACTGTCGAGGCACTTCGATATCAGTAATGTACGAAGAATAACTACCCCCACTCCCGCGATCCTTCCCATAAAAACGTCAAGAGTGAGCCAGGCCCAAAATCCTGGAATAACCACCCCTACTCCCACAGTCCTTCCCAGACAAACGCCAAGAGTGAGCCAGGCCCGAAATCCTGCAATACGAGAGATCGGTCAGTCAAGAGTGTCCAATACCAGCTCTATAGGAAGCTTCGTGTCGGCCCGTAGTCAGATGTCCTCCATCGGCCCGAGATCATCACACGGCAATTCGGCTTTCTTCACGGCGCGCGGGTCTGATTCGGCTATGCTGATTGGAACCATTCGCGAGGACGAAACACCCAGCTCCGAACTTTCTGTACAGCTTGCTCAGCTCCATAATGACTATTACAACACGCTTCGTCAACAGGCGATAATCCAGCCTTTCGATAAAGAGCTCAACTGGTCAGAAAAGGGCCAGCACGTTACCTTCGCTCCTAAAGACGAGGTTCCGCTGCGCTATATATCTCATCTGGGATCTTCCAATACCGCAACAGTTGACAAGGTGATTTGTCGCCGAATAGCACTCGCCAGAAAAACGATGAGATGCAACAGGAGGTGGACAGTCGCAGATGCTTCGCGCGAAGTCTATCACTTACAGAACCTCCGTCACTTTCACATCATCCAGCTAGTGGGGACATACCTCCAAGGTCGCAACTTTTCGATCCTGATGTATCCTGTTGCAGATTCTCATCTGGGTACATTTCTCGAAGACACCTTGGATTTACCGCATTATGCCAAGTGGGACATCCACAATCGTCAATGGTTTCTTGCTTCGACTTTAGCTTGTCTCACTTCTGCGATAGCCTTCGTTCACGAGAACACTACCAGACATATGGACATAAAACCTCAGAACATTCTCATAAGAAAGAAGGGCTCGTTCGGTGGATGGCGTGTTTATCTGGCCGACTTTGGTCTCTCGCGTTCCTTCGCTACGCAAGATCACAGTCAAACCGATGGACCAACATCACGCACTCCCCGCTACTGTTCGCCAGAAGTGTACAACGACGAACCGCGGGGTCGACCTGCGGATATCTTCTCTCTTGGATGCGTCTTCCTAGAGATAAGCTGTGTCATTGCCGGAGTGGACACTCAGGACTTTGCTTCCGCGCGACGTGGTGAAGGCAACGATGAATCGTTTCATGCAAACCTGGAGAAAGTAGTTGAGTGGGCTGACTCACGCCTGAGGGTACCGAACGGCGTCTTTCAGGATATAAATATCGATGATGTGGTTGACTTGGTTACTAGCATGGTCAACCGAGAACCCTCCAGCAGGCCTACAGCAGTACAAATCCATGATCGTCTTAAGTTGATTGGCGACTCTGCCTCTGTCTCTGTCTTCAGCAGAGAATGCTGTCACCTACCTCCAGAGCCATACGAAGCACATGTGGTGCCCAAGGTCCAAGAAATATAACCTGTATCGGTGCTTGAGCGGCGCGCCGAATCGACTCACAATGTCCGTTACATCCTCGCTGTTTCCTCTCGTGTGCCAGCTGTCCTATCATAGATCGATGTATCTTTTGGGACTGGATTGTATACCATCAAGTCCATTCAATACCTCATATAGATTGTGTAGACTTTATAAGGCAATAGTTCTACACCTTCTAAACATTGACACCTTACCTTCTAACATCTTACCTTCCGACATCTCGCCTTCCAACATCTTGCCTTTCAACACCTTGTCTTTATAGCCTATCTATCACACCCCAACCACGGTGCGCTGCCTCATCAACCCACGCAGACATACCAGCAGCTTGTCACCATCGACCACAAGACAAGCTCTTCAGCATTCATCTGCCAGAAGACATGACGTACATGCTATAAACCATCTCAACGCATAGAGTCTGTGCCACCGCCACGCCGACCTCATCCTAAGGCCGCTCGCAGAACTTATCTTCACAAACGTAGACCTGGTACGAAAACACTCGCGTGAGATGATCAAAGTAGTCCAATCTCCATGTAGCACAACAAGACACACAGTACTGAAGTCATAACCTAGTAGCGACGAAGTTGTGCTATTAAGCAGTACTACAACGCTGTCCAGAGACACATACCAAAACAGCATACGCCATCAATGCTTCAACATAAACTCCATGCTCAACGCCAGCAACACCAAGCAAACGCACACAAACATCGCCTGGAAACAAATCATCCAGATGATAGTACAGCACAGAACACAACTACATAACCGAGCAGTTCTCCTCTTGCTGCTTCTGATTCGTCCGACTAAGACGTTCACGCTTCATCTGCACTTTACT